GCAATGATTTCTCTTTATCATTTACCCTTCCTACAGATTTGTGTGTTTCCATAAATCTAGGGAAATTTGCCATACGGTTCCTGCGATCACTTTTTACAATAATTTGCCAAAGCTTTTCCCCCAGTAATGTGAAGTCCCACTTCGGTGTTGTGCAGAAGGTAATTTCAGGAGCACATTTCTTTTCAGACTGTCTTTTAATAGGCTTCGTGAAGCCAAAAAAGTAAATACAATTCTGTAACCACTTCAGTACAGTATTCAAATGAAATATTTGTATATAAAAAAGAAAAGAAAAAAAAAAGAAAAACGGACAATACAAACAAACATTTTTAAGAACGTCTTGTGACAGAGATCCATTTGTTCACTTTAGTTATATCAAGGTGGTACAGCTGTCATCTGCAGCACACCCAGGCTCTGCTCTACCTCGTCACTATAAAAAGGTATTTTCAAAACAAGAGCTCAAAATAAGCTCATGGGTTTTAAACCCCATGACTATTTACATAACAGCAAGCGATCTAGTAAGACCACGCTACAGTAGGAGGCATGCCCATTTATAGGGATGCAAACATAGAAGCGTCACTCTTTTCTGAGCAAAGCCAGTTACTGCAGCATGAATCTGCTCATTTACAAATAAGAGCTTCACATATCTGCAGCCTAAATGGAACAGCAGTATACGAGTATGAAACAAAAAAAGGGAGTAAACATAAGCGTGCCTCAAGGATAACTCCTTTTGAACAGCTGTTACATATTTTACCAGCGAGGCTGTCTAGATTAACCAAATGTATATAAAAAAAGTGAACACAAGTTGACATAGTACATAAGGATTCATCGAAGCTCCAAAAATCTTTATAAATACAGCCATTGGAAGGACGATCTTGAGTCAGGAAGGTATTTTAGTCGTGTGAGGCTGAGGACAAGAAGCAGGCACAGTTGTAAAGACACTTGAAGCAGAAGTCAGATCCCAGCATTACACCCCTACAGCAAGACCAACCCACAAAGCCCACTGCTAATAGTTTTTTTTTTTGATTTAATAAAAACCTTGACAGAACATTTATACACATGCATTTGTTGGGCTGCTGAGATTTATAAGCAAGCCCTTGCAGATATCACTAGAATAATTAAACCCCCAAATTCTTAGATCACACCCCTCTGCTATGACTTACCATAGCTGTCATAACCTTCTCTGTAGGAACTTCCTGACCGATCACCATAACTTCCTTGACTCCTGCCACAAAGAAAAAAAAAACCCAACAAATTAAAAAGCAAATCCAAAATGCTATGCACTAGCTAAATTTATGCGGGGGAAAGGGAAAAAAAAACAAAAACAAAAAAAAACACTTACCTGCCATAATAATCCCGGGATCCACCACCATAGCCTCCACTCCTGCTGCTGCCGTCAAAGCGACTGCTTCCATAACCACGGTCACCACCTTAACCACAGAACAGAAGTGTTAACATGCATTTGTCTTAGCAATGAAAAAAGTAAAAACCACACAAGCCATTTTGATATACACTATATTGCCAAAAGTATTGGGACACACCCCCAAAAATCATAGTATTCAGGTGTTCCAATCACCTCCATGACCACAGGTGTATAAAATCAAGCACCTAGGCATACAGACGCTTCTACAAACATTTGTGAAAGAATGGGTTGCTCTCAGGAGCTCAGTGAATACAAGCGTGGTACTGTGATAGGTTGTCACCTGTGCAATAAGTCCATCCGTGAATTGTCCTTGCTACTAAATATGCCACGGTCAACTGTTAGTGGTATTATAACAAAGTGGAAGCAATTGGGAACAGCAACCCAGGCACTAAGTGGTAGGCCACATAAAATGACACAACGGGGTCATTGCATGCTGAAGCGCACAGTAGTCGCCGACTGTCTTTAGAGTCAAAACTTTGTGTGGCCTACATGTTGGCACAACAGTGCGTAGAGAGCTGCATGGAATGGGTTTCCATGGTCGAGCAGCTACATCCAAGCCTTACATCACCAAGTGCAATGCAAAGCATCGGATTCAGTGGCGTAAAGCACGCTGCAACTGGACTCCAGGGAATTGGAGACTTGTTCTCTGGAGTGACGAATCATGCTTCTCTGTCTGGCAATCCGATGGACGTGTTTGGCAGCTGCCAGGAGAACGCCTGTTCTCCTGGCATGCCTGACTGCATTGTGCCAAATGTAAAGTTTGGTAGAGGGGGGATTATGGTGTGGGGTTGTACTTGGCCCCTTAGTGCCAGTGAAGGGAACTCTTAAGGCATCAGCATACCAAGACATTTTGGACAATTTCATGCACCCAACTTTGTGGGAAGTTTGGGGGATGGCCTAGAGATGGGTAGCTCATGAGCGATCAGATCTATTGAGCCGCTCCCTCAGAAGAGCGGTGGCTCAGTAATAATGAGCGGCGGTTCTTCTGGTCTGTGCTCTCTGTGGATGGAATGTAGAAGCAGAGAGTGAAACAAGAGCTGCTCTTGTAATATGATCTTAGAGAGCCAGGCTTCTGCCAGCCCACCCATGCAACCGATCACATCTGTGAACCAACAGAGACGGATCTGTGAACCCAAGAGCCAGATCTCGAAGAGTGAGACACTCAGGAATTATTTGGTTCTTTCAGCTCCTCTGCCTCTTTGAATCTGGCTCTTGGAATGATATAGTTCAGCTTCTTCTCAATTATACTGATTGAGATCCGCTCAGAGAGATATTTTGCACAGCTGACTTTTTTTTATAATGTATTGCTGGGACTTGTAGTCCCGCATAGCTGGTGGTATTCTGCATTGCTGGATGATTATTATAAAGCAATGCAGAATAGCACCAACTATGTAGGACTACAAGTCCCAGCAATGCATTATAGTGGTGGTGGGATGCTGGGGGTATTCTGTATAAAAGACAAGCAATGGTTTTACTTTAAAAATAACTCTTGTTCCCTCCCTCAAACTACACCCCCTTCTCATTTCCTCCCCTACTATAGTAAAAAGAGCAGTTTAGTAAACCATGAGCCGTTTAAAAGATCCAGATCTTTTCAGTGAGCGATCCATAGAGGGCTCATGCAGATGAACCGTTTTGCCCATCTCTAGGATGGCCCCTTCCTGTTCCAACATGACTGCGCACTAGTGCACAAAGCAAGGTCCATAAAGACATGGATGAGTGGGTTTGGGGTGGAGGAACCTCACTGGCCTGCACTGAGTCCTGACCTCAACCCGATAGAACACCTTTGGGATGAATTAGAGCCGAGACTGCGAGCCTGGCCTTCCCGTCCAACATCAGTACCTGACCTCACAAATGCGCTTCTGGAAGAATGGTCAAACATTCCCATAGACACTCCTAAACCTTGTGGACAGCCTTCCCAGAAGAGTTATAGCTATTATAGCTGCAAAGGGTGGGCCAACTCAATATTGAACCCTGCAGACTAAGTCTGGGATGCCACTAAAGTTTATGTGCATGTAAAGCCAGGCGTGCCCAATACTTTTGGTAATATAGTGCATCTCATTTCTTCCTAAGAGGAGGTAAAGTAAGGTGCGTCAATTGCACAATATTGGATATACAACCTCCTCTGTTTCAACACTTCCCAGAGCTTTAAATCCACTCAAATTTAGACCATGGAATGAGCAACTTTTCTGATCGAGACTCCCTATAGATAGGTGTAAACCCTGGAGTAAATGCAGAAATGCAACGTTGCTTGCTTTTCCACTTTTTAAAATTTGTTTAGGGCCTTTAGTTTCTGGGCATCTACAAGCTGACAATATTTATGCATGGAGTTTTAAGTAAGTGTCTCGACCTCAATTCAATTGTGGCAGTTTGGGATTTATATATTTTTTCACTACAGCAAAATTCCTGCATACATAGCTTTAACAGCAATTTCCAGT